ATAAACAATCGGGATAGTTATTAGGCATGTGGTGGTAAAAGGCCCTTTAGAATTTACTGGGTGGGATGTTCAGGAAAATTCCCATGGCTGTAGGGATGGAGTGGACTATGCCACTGTAGTGTGGGAAGGAGGAGCCCCAGGTCTCTCTGAAGGAATTTCTATTGAAAGTGCCTTGCTTCCCCAGGCATCTGGGTGGCTCAGTCAGTTTGGTGTTTGTCTTTAGCTCAGGTCATGTCCTCTGAGCTCTGGAATGGAGCCCAATGTCCCTGCTTCAGGCTCTGTGGTCAGTGGGGAGTCTGCTTATCCCTTTCTCTCTCCCTCCGCCCTCCTCACACCTTGTGCTCTGTCTCTCTCTCTAATAAATAAATCAAATCTTACTAAATCACAACAACAACAAAAAAAGAAAGTGACCTGCTTCCCCAATGGGATAAGCTATGTGTGAATATCTGCATGTTGATTGGCAGATCAAAGTTCTAGAATAGCAGAGCACAACAGGCACAATATGTATTTTGAATAGTTGTTCTTACTATAACCCAGTACTTATATATTGCTTAGCAAAATCTGAGTGTGATCCAACTATTTGCTGGGAATATGGTAAAGATGAGGCCACTTCTTTTTTTTTTTTTTTTTTTTAAGATTTTATTTATTTATTTGACAGAGATCACAAGTAGGCAGAAAGGCAGGCAGAGAGAGGAGGAGGCAGGCTCCTTGCTGAGCAGAGAGCCTGATGAGATGCGGGGCTCAATCCCATATCACTGGGATCATAACCTGAGCTGAAGGCAGAGGCTTTAACCCACTGAGCCACCCAGGTGCCCAGAGGCCACTTCTTGAATGAGAATAGGGTGTGTATATCAGCTTTGCGGAAATAGGACTATTTGTGACATTACCTGTTGAGGGGCAGAGGAGAGAGAAACCATGCTTGGATATTTTGTTAATGAATGACATTAGCATTGACAAAAAAATTTCCAATTGTACTCTGTGAAATGTTAAAACCGATATAATTCTCAAAGATATTTAGAGTAAGTGATTGCTATATGAAATTATGAGAGAGAGATGTATTGACTGTTAGGAAATTTAATTTTTATGAAATCAGCATTATGGAGAAATGTAATCTGATTCATGCCTGCAGAATTCCCAGTAGGAGGAGGCCCAGCTTTGGGAGTTGAAATGTTTCATTATGTACATGTGTGGGAAAAAGATGAAATGCGGTTTCCGTGTGCTGATTTTCCGTAAAACGTCTATTAGTATGAAAGTACGCAGGCTAGGCAGCAAAACCCCCAAACCACGGCTGTCTGGGAGAAAGTGAACTCAGCAGGATATCTCTGATGGAGACTGACATCTTGAGTAATAAGTTTGAAAGGAGCCAAGAGAAAGCAATGACAGTAACATAGTGTTGAAGTAGTAGCTAAGAATTGTCATATGCTGAAGATGAGCTCAGCCTTTTATCCCCCATCAATCTCTAGTTAACTTTGCTTTTAGAAATGTAAGGTTCCCCCCAAATAAAGAAATTGCAAACCTAAGCTTTTTATACCAATGCTAATTTAACCAACTTATCCATCTTATCACGTAAACTATAATTAGAGCAGGCTATGTAACAAGAGCTACACCATCCCTGAGGCAGAGAAAAGAGGGACATTGCTCCTGGGCTGTAGAGTAACAAGGCTCTAGAGTGACAATGACAGTCCCAGTCCCTTGGAAAGTTGGAAAAGAAAGAAAGAGGTGTCTTCAATAGGTTATACCAAATAAGGTATACATAATAGTCCAAAGCCTGCCAAATCCACATTTCATGAGACACAAGTGTCTTTGTCCTTTCCAATTCCAAGGCCATATGTCACTTTTTAGAGACCTTCTTCCCTAGTCAAGACTGTTGTTGAGTTTAGTTTGAATCAGATGTTAATGTAACTCAGGGATGACAGGTGCGTGTTTGGGGAGGAAGGGATGGGTGCATAGCATGATTTACTCCTATCTTCCTGATCCTGACACTTGGCCCTGAATTTCAACCCCTGTGGAAATGGTCTTGGAGATGAGCGAGGGCCAAGGGTTTTTGCTGCTATTGATGTTTAGTTATCAAGTGTGCTTTCCTTTTTCTGGTGATATTTTAGAAGGTCTGGAATCTTTTTAACTATTCCAGAAGAAGTGTCTTTCAGGTACTTTTAGAGTAGATTAAAGTTTCTGCCTTAGCTCAAATATAGCTCTGTTATATATAAACAAATAAATAACCTTTAGAAAATTCTGGAGTTCATAATGAGGAATATTTGAACTATTTTCAAATAAAGTAAAGGAAGTTCCTTGGGTTGATATTGGCTAAAGGATAAAATCTTCAAAAATGAGGGCTTTGCTTTGCTTGATTAACATGCTCTCTAATGCCCTGCACATCAGAGCCAGCCCGTATGCGACAGGATGCAGTGTTGCCATAGACGCCCGAGACTTGGCTTTGGGAAAAGAGATCTCGAGTGCCATTCGGGGTTCCAAAGCCAATGGATTGAAGGGTGTCCAAACAATGACTTTTCCTCATGAAGGGAAGATTGAGATAGTTTTCAGTGTAGAGTGTTTTAGAGACCAAGACGCTATAGAAACCTCAGAAGGCTCTCAATACACGGCCTACAGTGATCATGGGATCATGTTTCTTATGTATCCTAATTACATAGAAGCTCAAGTTAAAAAGTCCGTGAGAGACCAGGGAATTGGTAGAGCATTGATTGGATTTACACCCTAAGAACGTAAGAACTGTGCCAAATGTGCTATGAAAGAAAGTATTGGGGAATTCTGGAAGATATGGGGAGGGAAGTATTTTTATGTGATCCAATCTAAGGCTTCTCTTAAATTTTAAGGAAGACATCAATCATGACAACGTTTTCTTTTTGCTGATGAAGATGAAAAGAAGATACAAAGAGCTTGGTTGTAGCTGTGTAGTGGAAAATTCTCTGTTCAACAGAAACAGGTGTTTATCGCTTGTCTGTAATCGCCCTAAGGTATTTCTAGTTGTTAAAACTTCGTGAGAACCTACTCTGTATCAGGTTTATGTCCTTGTGTACCTTAAAAGCCTTTCTGAATTGGATGGATAAGATGGCCATGGTTGCTGGACTACCTTTCCTTATCGTGAACAAACCTAAAAACAGGTGTGCACTTACTTGATTTCCCTGAACTCTATTCCCAAGTCCTGTATTCAACTCTCATTTTTTGAGTAGTCATGTTTTTAAAAAATACACTTTAAAAGATCAAGCACTAAGTGACTAAAGTGTGGGGAGAATTAGAAAATGAAGTTCATTTTTCAAAGCATCATTGCCCGTTTTTACCTTCCCACTTTTAGGATGACCTATTGTTCATTTTAGAGGTAATTCCAAAAAGCCAGACTTGTCTAATTTTTCAGTGTTTATATAGGGAGATGGAATGATGGTATTGGGCATGACTTCAAGGAATTATGTTTATCTCTTTTGGAATTTAAATGGAAAATCTGAAGGTTTAGGGAATGTATTGCTTTTGAGCAGAGGAGGGTATCAGTGGAAGGATTTTATTTGAAAGAAATCAAAATACCTAGCCTCTTTATGAACTAAAAGAAGCCACTTGTTGATTCTGGCAATTTTATGTAAATCCTTAGTATTTATATTGCTTTAGTACCAGGTGCTTTCTCTCCATAAGGCACAAAGAAATGAATTTTTTCCATTGACTTTGTTTAGCAAGAAAGATTATGGTCTTGTCTAGTAAGAACATAAATGTGAATTTATTTTAATGAGTAAAAAAATAAAAAAGAGGTTGAACTCTTACAGGATTTAGTCACCTATCTTTATTTAACTTACATTTGATTCTTGAATACGATTGCAAATTAATTTTGTTCCAGAATTATGATTCTGTGGGTGTTTTCTTTTCACTGTCAATATAAATACAACAAAGAGAAATGATGGACCAGGTGTGGTTTTCAGTCAGCTAGAAGTCTAATTGCTGTGGTGAAGAGCAAATGTTCTCCGTTTAGACCCGGTGGGCCAATTTCTCAGTCTGTGAGAGCTGAGAAGCAGAAACGCTTTGTTCTTCTCTTACTTTGGTGGAGGCCACATGGCCTAGTAGGGTGAGTACTGGATTAGGGGACGTGGGTTCTGGTCCTTGCCTCACCCTCCATGTAACCATAATTCCATTACCTGTTAAGTAGGGAAAATAGTTCCCCCTTTGATCAAGGGCTGTATTCTGGGGGAATAAAATGGAAGGACTTGATAGTCTGTAAGGTGAAAATGAAATATATTATTCGTACTCTTACAGATGTGTTGTAGAGCTTTGGTTCGGTTTTGGGCATCAATGTTAAACAGATGAGAGCGGGTAAAAGCACCTCATGCCACTGGGTCATTTGGGGTTGTAGGAGGAGTTCACTGATTTTGCTAATTATGTGAATTAGCCTCTTCAGGTTTCTATCACTGCATTCCAGACCACTGGCTTCGAGTAAGGCCTGTATAAAACCAAACCCCCATTTAATGGGCACAGGGTTTCAGTTTTTGAAGTTGAAAAAAATTCTGGAAATGTATGGTGCTGATGGTTGCACATCAATGGGAGTACTAAATGCTGCTGAACTGTACTTAAAAATGGCTAAAATGGTAAATTTTATGGTATGTGTATTTTACCACAATTAATTACTAAAAAAGTATATATTAATTTCAGAAAAGTTAAAAAAAAGCAAGAAAGATCATTTTACGAAGGCTTTCTATATAAAATGTTGGCAAATTTCTAGTATCTGTTGAAGTGTACAAACATATAAGACCCATTTTTCCCTTTTAATCTATTATGATGGACTCTGGCACTGCATGTGGGGTTTAGTTAATGGTTTAAAATAGAGTTAGTTAAATTTGGCCTTTGATTCATCTGTCTATTTAAAAACAATAACTTACTATTTTTGTTAAATAATTTTCAAAACCAGCACAGTCACATTTCTTACTTCCCATTGATACTCTAATTCCCCTTTTCTTTCTGTTGTCTTTCCCTTTCCCCCTCTCCCTTGCTCCACCATGGTTCTCTAGAAAATCTGAAACAGCTGTGAGTTCCTGAAGGTTTAGCCTATGGACAGATGCAGGGTGTATCACCAGCTATTTCTACGTGGGAGCTGGCAGAAGTAGCCAGAGTGGATCTCTAACAACCAAGGATTATCAAATTGGGTTGAGAAAATCTGACAAAATGAGCTAAGAAACAGCCTGACTCCTATTAACCTTTTCTCTTATTGGCCTCTTAAAAAAACAAACTGACCGTCTGTGGGAATGTTTCGGCAGTACTTTTCTTTTCGTCTGACCACAAAGTGGACATTGTATGGAGTGTGGCTTCCTTGCTTGTCTAACCTCTGGCTCCTGTCAGAGGGCTTTGCCCGTGGCTTGTGCCAGTTGCAAATAGGACCGAATCGATGTGGGCAAATAGATTTTACAGTTCATCAAGTCTTTAGTGTTTTTCCTCTATCCCACTTTAAACTTCAAGTTTTAGTCTCTTAGAGGAAGGACAAGGAAAGCGGAAAGCTAGGCTCTGAGGGTGATAAGGACTCCTGATGTCATTATTGTGGGTGGGGCGGGAGGGCTGTCCTTTTTTTCCTGAATTTGGGCTTGACTCAATAATAAATTAAAATTATTTCCACGTAAGGAGCAAGGGGTGGGCTAAATAAAATATAACTGTAAAATATAAAAACAAAATGGCGGGGGGTGATATTTTCATTCCTCAACATAATGAAAAGCCTTGCTCTGTAATTGGTTCGTACTGTCTTGGAAGTGGCGTCCGTGGCCCGCAAAGGACCGCTCTATGAGAATCTGCAAGGAATTTATCATTCCCTCTGGCTGAGCCAAAGCAGGCTTGATATACAATTTTGTTTAGTATAAATATTCTCATGTTACTGTTTACTCTGTGGGGATGTGAGGATCTCATGGACAGGGTACGTGCTCCACGGCCTTGCTTTTAAAAGGCATTTATTTGACTCTGTTGTTTGTACGCGCCCAGAAACTTCAGAGAACGGCTCAGGAACTGTTTGATAAGCGTCCAGACCAGGCTCCCGGAGAATGTTGTGCTCGGGGGTTAGCGAAGCTTATTGTTTTAAGCAGGCCTGCATATGGCTGCATAGGAGCCCATTTTTCATAGGTAAGAGCAATTAGGACAGAATCTGACTCCTTCTCTAGGGTGTGAGAAAAGATCCCGGGGAGCGTGGGTCTGTTGGACTCTCTCTGACCCCGGATAACCCCGCCACTTCTTTTGTCCCTGTGCGCAGTATTTTGAGACAGATTAGCTCATAAATGAAGATGTGAGTCGGAGACCTAAGCATGGAATCAATTCCTTTTTCTAAACGTGTAGCGTGTACGTCGTCCAGCTCAGCCACACGCCTGCCCTTCCATACGCTGCCGTGGACCCTGGGGACTCTGCAGGCCATAGTCCTCCTTGCCAGCTGGTTTCCTGTTGGGCTGGGCCAGGACCCGGTGCTGGCTGGGCAGGCGGAGAGGGGCTTGCGCTCTCCTCGTCGCTTCCTGCTGCTGACAGCCACCCTGCCGCAGTGGCTCTGGAACTGAGAGTAGTAGCTCCCCAGCCTCCTGCTTTTCTTCTGACGCTTTCAGAACTGCCCTCTTCCTGTTCCCCAGGGGCCCCAGCAGCCGCTGAGCCCCGGCTCTGGGCTCCACTCCAGGGCTCTCCCCTAGCTTCTAGGCTCTGTGGACCCCAGTCTCCTCCTCCCTTTGTGCCTGCAGCTTTAGGGCGTACTGACTCCTGCCCTTGTGTGTCTGGGGTACCGTTTTCTGTCTTTGCTCTTTGGGTTCTCCAACAACTTTTGGTTGACCCATTTTTTTATGTTCTGTCTTTTGAAATACTTCATGGGGTTTCTGGCTCCCTGACTGGATCGTGTCAGGAGGAGAACTCAGCAGACTGAATCGAAGGGAGGGAGAATAAGGCAGAAAATATCCGGCTTGAATATAGTTTTATTAAAAGCAGCCCATTGAAGATTATCGCCCTCTCTTCTCATTGGCATTTTATTCTCATAATTTCTTTATTATTTTTCTCTTATTGTCAGATCCTGTGTTTTCTTTGACAGTCTTGCTGTTCCTTCAGCTAATAGGGAGTCTGAATATTGATCGGGGGTAAGGGTGGGAGTGTTATCGGGCAGAGTTTTCCAATGAATGCCTTTCGTGTACTAACTTATTCTACAATTAAAAGCGTGGGCTAATGTAATTTTAAAACTGAAATTCTTTTCTGTTATCACAGTTATGTGTCTTTCCTTTTGTGCCCACCCACCCCTTCCAGGTAGATGATGGTTTTCAGCTGATGGTGGGCTCCCAGCCAAACACCTTTCCCAAACCTTCTGTGTAGCGTCCTATTAACTTTTTCTTAGGAAACCCCACATGTGGCCAGTCACTGTTACCTAACTTCTTAGGTGCCTGTATCTTCATGAAGACCAATTTCTTTGGGAGAAAGTCATCATTGTTTCTGATACAGTTTAGTAATGACCTACTGTTTTGTTTCTGGTGAGTATAAAGAATTTTTGGTAATTGCTATTACTCGCTGTCCCAAACTTACATTCCAGAGTTCATCTTCTGTCACCATATCCACACCAGTATTTCTCAAGGATAAAAGGAAGATGAAATAGAAACATACCGGAACAGAAGTCTTTGGTGAACCCTTTTAGCGCCATTAATAGTGGCTACCTTCTGTTGAATTCCTAGTGTCAGGTACCTTGTGTGATTTCCACAGCTCTCTGGAGTAGGTGACTGGGAAGTAATATGATTACCCATGTTCTTTTTAGCCCGCTGGGTCAACCAGGAGCCTCTTCCTACCATATCTCTTATCCTGTAGACTTCTGTCACCACTCGAACCCTGAATACAGCAACCCGGATCCTCAGAACTCCAGGCCTCTCCTCTTAGGCCTGGTCAGCTTTTGTGTTTCGTTTCTCGTGATCTGGTTAGACTTGGACGCCCAGTTGGTTGACCCTCCCCTTCTGTGGTGCTGCTGTGGGATAGGCCACCTCAGAGCGCTGACATCTCTTCCAGACCTAAGACTCTTTCCAGCACTTCTACACTCTTTCCTCACTTAAAATTTCACCCAGATCTGTCTTTGACACAGCTAGAATATACTGGATCCTTGCCCGTTTCTTCCTTCCTGTATCTGGGAGATGCATCAGCGCCTAGTTTCATAGCTTCGCCCTGGACTGTCACTCCTCATCTGCAGGCCCGACTCTGTGCTCCGGGACGCAACCCTGCCTCATCAGCGAGGGAGCGGATGTGGATGAAGCCCCCTGTCCCTAGATTTCTCCCTGCTGAGTTTCCCAGACTGAAGCATAAAACTTGCTCCAATTAATTAAGAGATTCCTGAAATCACTGCCACTGTCCCGAAAGAGCCAAGTCAGCCACAGGATCTCAAATGGTCCCCCTCAGTTTTGATTTAGGGAGGAGGATTGCCACCAGATGGTGCCAGAACTGCAGCCAGGACCAGGTGGGTTTGGATGGTGCCGCCACGCCCCCAGGACTCAGGACTGCCTGACCGGGTGGAGTCACTGGGTTATTTCTTTTGCATTGAGCTCACATCCCCACATTTCATGCAGTAACGCTTTTTGGACTTGACGCACTGACTTGTGGCCGTGTTTTAGTCGTCTCTCGTTTGTCTTGTTGGCTCGACGGCACTGTCTCTTCTGGGTCATTCCAGTATTTGTTGAGCACCTACTCCGTTTAGTGGTGCCCACGATGCTGATAACGCATAAGCCACAGGGACCCCCACTCACAAGAAGCCCTGGTGAGGCCTGGGGCAGGCCCTGCTTGTAAGCTCATAAGGTTGTACGATTCTGTAAAACCGGCAAACGCATGCTGTTTTCGCCACAGTTTGTTGAAACTACTGTCTGTTCCCAATTATACTTCTCTACTAAACGTCCTCTCCTGACAGGTGGCAGTAGAGTGACCAGGGCCAGCTTCACGGGCTTGCAGCCTGGGCGGCAGCACGGTGCTCTGTGCTTGCTATCATCAAGATTCTGAATCATTTTAAGAAGAGGACCCTCATTTTCATGTGCATTGAGTCCCACAAATTACATAGCTGGTTCAAGGAGTAGCCATGGGCGTTTTTGGACCCAGTTACAGGGAAAGTTGAGCTGGGGATAATTGGATTTAGCAGGATATATGTATGTGGTTCGCAGTCACTTGCATCCATAGTTAAGTTTGTGCCAACTCTTCCAGTGGAGGGAGGGCCTCCAGGAAGCCCCTCGCCCTCTGTGATGGCTCACCACAAAGCAGGGCCAGAGGACTGTCACAGATGAATGTGTCCTCTGGTGCCAGCACCAGAAATACGTAAGTTGTGGAGGAAAAACAAGGTTCAGGAGGAAAAACAGGCTAGTCTGTGGAAAATCTTTGCAGTTCTTAGTAGTGTAAAACTGTAAGCAAAGGATGTGGTTCTTAATAATGCCCATCCCAAACAGAAACTCTGTTTTGCAGAAATAGATGTGTTGCTGCAGTGTGTACAATTGTAAATACACTAGGTTACTTCATTTTTTCATGACAATCATATGAAATAGAACTGCTCAAAATGCCTGTTTTGGGGGGGAAACAAATCTCTGGTAGAACTACAAAGAGCAAGTGTGTCTGTGTGGGAAGTTGTGTTCGAAACATTAATAATTACAAATGGATTTCTATCAACCATTCTAGAAAAAAGAATGAGTTCACTTTATATTCTCTTTACATAAATGACAAATCATTGTCATTTGAATAGGTGACCAAAAGGTAGGCTGCCATAAAACGTGGAAAACATGTAGAGAAGTATGATAGAATAATTCATAAAAATGTCATGTTATTTTTTAAGAATTTATAATAGTGATTATATTTCTCTGCTTTTAAAATGTGCAATTTATTGTGATTTATTTTCTCATTCTAAATTCACTTATGAGCTTATTTTTTATTTTTCATTTATTTAGTTTTGAGGTATGATTGACATGACATTATGTTAGTTTCACTTGTATGACATGTTGGTTGGTTTGTTATTTGTATGTATTGTAAAATGATCACCACAGCAAGTCCAGTTAACATCTGTCACCATCTGATTAGTTTTCTTGAAGATGGCACTTAATACTGTACGAGTTTCAGGCCTCACCGAACCGGGATCTACCCGCCCATGTGCTCTGTGTATTTGACTTGTACATTATCTTATTTAATCCTCACAACATCCATCTGAGATTTTTATTATTCCTGCTGTAGGGGTGCAGAAACTGAAGCTCGGAGAGATTACCTTGAGATCATACAGCTGGTAGGTTGGAGAACCAGGTTTAGGTCTGACCTTTCTAAAGTTCATGCTTTTTACACATTGTTCTCTAGTTTCTGAAGCTATGAGACATTTCCTTCCAGGTTAGTTCTCTCTATGTATTTATATATATAAAAAAATTCATGCTCATCCTTCCTTTCTTTCATAGCCCATATCACAATTATTGAATTATTA